TGCTCCAACACAGCTCCCGGCCCAGATGGCATTCGCTACGTGTCATGGAAGAAGTTCGACATCGGTGCACACATCCTTTCAACACTCTTCAACAGCTCTGGACTTAATAAATTCTGATTTATAAGAGAGATTTACTGGTAAAGAACAAGTTTTATTTAAAATAACCAAAACGAGATCAAAGACTCGTTTCATTTACCCAATTTTAATCGCGGCCGGGTGACGATAAAAAATTTTTTACGGCAACCACCTGTTTTTTTATTTTAATATCGCTGATTTTATTATAAAAAGAATAAAAATCACCCGGCTAGAGTGATTTGATGGGTTTACAAATTTTTGGAAACCCTGAAAGGCTTGGAGAAAAACAAGATCGTCACTCATCAGACACCTCAGCTAAAAGGCACCTATTTGAGAAAACTAAAACCACAAGCGACCACAAATGGAAAAAAGATCTAATTGTGTCAATCAAAGCGTTGAAGACGTCCTACGGTGGAGGAGATCCAGTCACTTCTGGTGAAGATGCGCTGGAAAGTGATAAGATAGGAAGCCGATTTGAGGAACTGCTGTACTTGAGCGAAGATGAAAGTGAGCAAGAGGAAGAATTATAGATTAACAATTTATTTTTATTGTTTTTTGTGCTTATTATTTTGTTTTTAAATTTATCTGCAATTAAAACTCAATCGATCTAGACTGTGCTGAGGTGTCTGATGAGTGCTGAGGTGATCTTGTTCTTCTCCAAGCCTTGCAGTGTCTCCAAAAATTTGTAAACCCATCAAATCACTCTAGCCGGGTAATTTTTATTCTTTTTATAATAAAATCAGCGATATTAAAATAAAAAAACAGGTGGTTGCCGTAAAAAAATTTTTTATCGTCACCCGGCCGCGATTAAAATTGGGTAAATGAAACGAGTCTTTGATCTCGTTTTGGTTATTTTAAATAAAACTTGTTCTTTACCAGTAAATCTCTCTTATAAATCAGAATTTATCAAGTCCAGAGCTTCTAGATCAATTCAAATGTAAAGTCCAGAGCTTCTAGATCAATTCAAATCAGGCCAATCAATTCAAATCAACTCGAGCGCCTTCATTTACCCAAATGTTTCCTTCTAAATGAAATATGATTCATTTCCTTACAAATAAAAGATTAAATTAACCACGATCATTCAAAATGAACCCTTTTTTCTTTGGTCCCTCAAAAATCTTTCTCAAACTTCACTAAAATAAAATTTCCATCACTTTTCCATGCTTTCACATTTTTCATTTTTCTTTTGCTTCACGACGATCTGCTCCATTTTTCTTGTTCCGTTGTGGTCAATAAAACTCTCTAGAACTGTAAAACTCGCGTGCAGGGGTAAGCCAAAATTTTAAGCATCACGGGGGCTAATCTTGAATAAATTTTTTTGTGAAAATCACGGTCAAAAGCCAACAATTTCAGTGAAAAAATGTGAGAAAAAAAGGAATTTTCGACGTCATTCAACCAAAAAACGGATAAAATTTGATATTTTAAACTAGCCAGAAAGATTTTATTCTAGAATTGTCATTAGATTTTAAAATTTTTTTCAAAAACAGCTTCCATGTGACTTAAAGATTTAAATAAAATTTGAAAATTTCCCTTTTTTGTTTTCAGCTTTTTGTGAAAAACAACTGGCAACAATATTTTTGAGTTTTTCGATCAAATTCGAAAGTTTTTTGGTTTCAAATAATGGATCAATGGTTGGTAAACAGATTTTCGAATGTTTCATGGAACTACTTGCGACCTTTTTCCGAGAAAATCCTGGGTTTGCGCTTTAAAGCGTGGTAAAACTACCGTACCCCTCCAATTTGCGCGAAATTTCATTTTTTTTCATTCTTCTTCATTTCGTTTTATACTTTTTGCGTTTTTTTCAACGTTTCAACGTTTTTTCAATTAAAAGTTACAAAAACAAAGCTTCCGTCATAGAAAATGATAAAAACCACTTAACCTAACATTAGTTGGCATCAAGCTCGTGGAGCAGATCTAAAAGGAAGCAAGTGGATCTAAAAAGCCACAAAAACAAAGCTCCGGCCATAGAAAATGATAAAAAGCACTTAAATTAACATTCGCTGGTATCAAGTTCATGAAGCAGATCGTCGGGAAGGGGTCTAAAAAACTACAAACAAAGCTTCTGCCATAGAAAATGATAAAAACCACTTAACTTAACATTAGTTGGTATCAAGTTCATTAAGCGGATCTAAAAGGAAGCAAGTGGGTCTAAAAAACTATAAACAAAGCTTCGGCCATAGAAAATGATAAAAACCACTTAACTTAACATTAATTGGAATCAAGTTCGTGAAGCAAGTGGGTCTAAAAAGCCACAAAAACAAAGCTTCCGCCATAGAAAATGATAAAAAGCACTTAACTTAACATTCGCTGGTATCAAGTTCATGAAGCAGATCGTCGGGGAAGCAAGTGGGTCTAAAAAAACTCTATAAACAAAGCTTCCGCCACAGAAAATGGTGTTAAAAACGTAACTTAGCTGTATCCTCTTTGTTTCCTGCAAAAACAAACGCGCACACATCAGAAAAACGCAAAAAGAATAAAATGAAATGAAGAAGAATGAGAAAAAATGAAATTTTGCGCAAATTAGGAGGGTTACGGTAGTTTTACCACGCTTTAAAGCGCCAACGCAGGAATCTCGGAAAAAGGTGGCAAGTGATGGAATTTTCATTGAAACAAGTGTACTTTTTGTTCTAAAAACTCGATAAGTACTCTTTCTAAGGGATTGAATCATTTTCGTAGATTTATTCAAGAATTGAGTGCACGAAGGCAATTCTAGAGCAATTCTAGGGCAATTCTAGGGCAATTCTAGAGCAATTCTAGGGCAATTCTAGGGGCAATTCTAGAGCAATTCTAGGGCAATTCTAGGGGCAATTCTAGAGCAATTCTGGAGCAATTCTAGAGCAAAAAAAAACCCCATTCCATAATTCCAAAAATATCTCAACACCATCTATGTGACGTGAAAGGAGTGGTCTTTTTTTTCTCAAAGAACACACACACACAAACACAGACATTCCAAGACACTCCCTGGATATTTTTCGATTCATCGACTCTTCAAATACCCTAATACCAACAAGCTTGATATAAAAGAGCTTTTTATTGGACGATATTCAAAAAGATATTCAACGATGAAAAGTCTTGTATTTCTTTGTTTCTTCGCTGTCTGCGCTGCGTATTTTCAATTGCCAAAAGATTGGGGACCAAAAAAGAAGAAAATGGCGTGTGAGGTAAATGAATGAAAGATATTGTAAAATGAGTTGTACAAGTCCAATCGAGAAGTTTTTGATAGAGAAATAAAGCCAAGATCCAGGGCTACAATTCTCTATATAACACTTGACACTTTCATAATAAGGCAGTCGTTTTTCAGCGACTTTTCCGTGTCATAATTGATTGAATTTAAACGATTGAAATTAAACGATTGAATTTAGAGCAACTTAGAGTCATTTAAGACTCTTGTAAAAGTCATTTAAGACTTTGTTTACTTGTAAAAGTCATTTAAGACTCTCTGTTTACTTGTAAAAGTCATTTAAGACTCTTTGTTTACTTGTAAAAGTCATTTAAGACTCTCTGCTTACTTGTAAAAGTCATTTAAGACTCTTTGTTTACTAGTAAAAGTCATTTAAGACTTTGTTTACTTGTAAAAGTCATTTAAGACTCTCTGCTTACTTGTAAAAGTCATTTAAGACTCTCTGTTTACTAGTAAAAGTCATTTAAGACTCTCTGCTTACTTGTAAAAGTCATTTAAGACTTTTTTAAGACTTTGTTTACTTGTAAAAGCTTGAACAAGAGTTCAACTAATGATAAAAAACAAAAGACTTTTATGATTCAAATTTAGAAATTGAAAAATAAATGTTTAAAATGTAGATTTACTATTTAAAAAAATCATTTCTAATAAAAAGATATTCAGTTGATAAATTTGGACTTTAAAAATGATTGAACAACTGATTGAATGATTGAACAACTGATTGAACAACTCTGTTAACCTATAAATATTATCAATCAAACAATTCTGAGATCACAATCGACCCAATAAACTTCAAGAATAAATATCTTTATTTCAAGGTTGAGATTCAGCCATAATCAGCCATAATCAGCCATACAAAATTCGCCAGAATTGTAGTGACAAGATATATTTCTGTTTTTAAGGCATTTTAAATAAACAACTATAAATGAACTATAAAATCGACAACTATTAGCATTTGAGAAGGCTTGCAAGCTTTTCGCGAAGGCGTGATGATCAAATAAACTGCTCTCGAGTTCTTCTCATACTTTCAACAATCATTTCTTCAAGCTTTCAATGTTTTTTTGGGGTTTTGAAAAAGCTTAAGCTTCTAGAGCATTGAAAAATTCATTGGATTGAGGTCTGGAGAGCTAGATGAGAAAGAAAAAGACTTAGAAAAAGAAATAAAGTCCGTGAATTTGTTTTGGCAGAACGCTTGGACTTTCTAGGATTTGTGCGCCATCTTGCTGCTAAGTCCAAACGCGATTTCGAAAATATTTACGAGTCTAGGGTAAGGGTTCATCCAGGAGAAGAGTAGTTATCGGAATTGATATGATATCACAGGTCTATAATATCACAGGTCTATAATAGCACAGGTCTATAATATCACAGGTCTATAATATCACAGGTCTATAATATCACAGGTCTATGATACCACAGGTCTATAATAGCACAGGTCTATGATATAACAGATCTATGATATAACAGATCTATAATATCATAGGTCCATAATATCATAGGTCTATGATGTCACAGATCTATAATATCACAGATCTATAATATCATAGATCTATAATATCACAGGTTTATGATATCATAGACCTGGGAAACCACAGGTCTATGATATCACAGATCTATAATATGATGTTGTGACAATTATAGTGCACCCTATACTTTCACAAAATCTTTATCTTTATAAGTAATGCTAAAAAAATTTTAGGATTATTGTGGTGGTGAGGAAAAATCGACAAGGATGGGTTTCGACTTCACGATGGCCGGCTGGGAGTTGTGCAGTTGCTCGATTTTTCCGAAAGAATCTTTATCGTATCGAGAGGCGATCGCAATCCATAGCAAGTAAGGCAAAAAAAAAAGAGAAAATTCATACAAATTTTCAGTTGGACGTCAACAGTCTGCTTTAAACAATGCGTTCGACGGTGTAGACGAACGAGGGGAAGATGTGCGGTCAACAGTCCGCACAATGAGCGCTACGCTGGGTGAGCATGAGCACTACATGAGCATGAGCACCTTAAAGTAGCTTTAAATCTGTTGGATTCAGACGATCTATAGCTCAAAAGATAGAGAATCTAAAGAGCTTTCAAATGGACAAAAACAGATTCAAAAATCTTAATTCTAAAGAAAGTTATGGTTGTTTGTAGCCATCGAGACTAAAACCACTATAACTTTTCTTAGCCTAAATATTTCTGAATGTGCTTTAGTTTATTCGAAAGCTCTTGAAATTCTCTATCTTTTTAGCTATAGAAGATGTTGATTTAAAAGATTTAAAGCAAATTTAAAGCAAATTCAAAGCGTTTAAAGTCTAGGTTTATAGTTTGGTTTTTAGAAACAAAGTTAAAACCAAATTTCCAGTCAATGTTGTACCCGAGCAAACACGAATTGGTCAATGATGGCTCAATGTTTCATAAATGGAACCGGTGCATGTCATCTTGATCGAAAATTGGCTACTGGAGCGAGCACGGTTCTCGGCATTAGTGTCGGAAGTTTTGGTGTCAATCAGGGTGGTTAAAAGGGAGAAATTTCTATCTAATAATCAATATTTATTGTCGATTTCTTGAATTTGAATAAAAGTTTATCATTTAAACGAAAAGAAGACTTTATACTGAGTAAAGAAGCATCTCTAAAGCTCTCTAAAGAAGCATTGTAGTGCCACTGGAGACAAACTGTCATCGCACTCACCTACAGGGTGATCAAGAATTCCCGCAACAACGTCGTATTATGTTATGAGCTTTATTTCACTTTTTGCTTATCTGTTTTTATGGTTTTTGTATATTTTTCTTATTTTATGATATGATTACTAACTTTCAATACATTAATATGGTTGTGTTGAGGAATTGTGAAAGCGTCTCCACATCGACCGCGTCTCTCCACATCGACCGCGTCTCTCCACATCGACCTCGTCTCTCCACATCGACCGCGTCTCTCCACATCGACCGCGTCTCTCCACATCGACCGCGTCTCTCCACATCGACCGCGTCTCTCCACATCGACAATCGATCCTGAGCCTGAGCCTGAGCCTGAGCCTGAGCCTGAGCCTGAGCCTGAGCCTAAGCCTCAAGCGGCAGCGTGTTCAGGCAAGCGAGATCTCAAAGCGCCCGAATGTCCCCAGAAGCCTCGTTTCTCGAAGCATTCAACGTTATGAAACTCTGGGCACAGTTTCTGATCGATCCAGGGATCTGATCGCCCTGGAAGAGGTGCAAAACGAACAGCGGTTACTCCGGCTTATGTCAAGAAAGTGCGCGATCGTCTAAGGTTAAACCCTAACCAATCGGCTCGAGGAATGGCAAGGAATGGCACAGAAAATGGGTCTGAAGAGAAGCTCCGTCAACACAATCATCAAGAAAAAGCTGAAAATGAAGCCGTACAAGAAGAACAAATCTCAATTACTATCAGCTGCTGAATTACCGCAACCACGTCGCATTATGTTATGAGCTCCATTTCACTTGTTTGCTTATCTGTTTTTATGGTTTTTGTGTATTTTTCTTATTTTATCATATGATTAGAAACTTTCAATACATTAATATGCTTGTTTTCAGGAATTGGGAAAGCGTCTCCACATCGACAACGACCGAGCCAAGGGCAGCGGTCAAGCGAGCGGCGAGCATGAGCCCCATTTCACTTTTTGCTTATCTGTTTTTATGGTTTTTGTATATTTTTCTTACTTTATGATATGGTTGCTAACTTTCAATACATTAATATGGTTGTTTTGAGGAATGGTGAAAGCGTCTCCACATTGACAAGATGTGGACTCTGATGTAGACTCCGTGCTATCTTCTGTGCTATCTTCTAGCTAAACGCATGCCTTCTGGCACACTAAACTTTTCATTTTCTCTTTACAGCTTTGAGCAAAAAGGTAAATCGAATTTAAACTCGATCGATTTGCCAAAAGACTAGCGTTTTTCCAGAGCACAAAGTCCAGGAAAGCAGTTATTTTACAGTCAGTGTACTTTCAGTGCTTTCGGTACTTTCAGTGCTTTCAGTACTTTCAGTGCTTTCACTTTCAGTACTTTCAGTGCTTTCAGTGCTTTCACTTTCAGTACTTTCAGTACTTTCAGTGCTTTCAGTACTTTCAGTGCTTTCACTTTCAGTACTTTCAGTACTTTCAGTACTTTCAGTGCTTCCAGTACAACTCGATGACCAACTCGATGATCAAATTGATAAACTTTATTTAAAAATTGATTCTAAAAACAGTTCATTACAAAGTTCATATCTATTGGGTTGGGGAGAATGAGTCGGCGCCAAACTTTAAAGGGACTTTTTGCACACATAAAGCCTTCTTTAAACATACGTTTGGTTTCATCAAAAGGATCCACTATTTCTCTACAAAATCACTTTTGAGAGATTCCACAAAGCTTTTCTTTCGTGGAGTTTATGAACTTCCAAACGCAGCTGGTTAAAATGGCAAAGAGTCCGACTCATCATTTGAACAGTTTCTTTCACATAAACCTTCTTTGGTGTTTATATAAAAAAGATAGAGCACATTCAATTACTTAAGTTGCCAAATTTGCAGGAAGATCCCACCAATGGTTTTTTCTAGATCACAATTTGTAGTTTTTGTGAAAAAATGGCTTTTTCTTGAGCGGAGGCGCTGTTTGAATTTTCTTTTAAATGTGATTTTGTAGAGAATTAGTTAACCATTCTACTCATATCAAACGCATATTATTTGACGAAGTCGAATTGAAGTTTTAGACATTTTTTTCATTTTCGGCGCCGACTCATTCTCCCCAACCCAATAGTTTCAAGAGACAAGATTGCACTCTAATAGCTCTATTATTAGAACCATAGTACACTGTCGTTCTACTAATGTACAGTAGCAGAAATTCTTCTTTTTTCATGAATTTTCGTAAAATAAACATAAAAAGGAAACAAATGAACGGATGGAACCGAAAATTAGCACCTTCTACGGATATCAAACGCATATTATTTGACGAAGTCGAATAGAAGTTTTAGACATTTTTTTGATTTTCGGCGCCGACTCATTCTCCCCAACCCAATATTTACATTCAATTCTGAAACTATTAAGAATCAAAAGTCATTCAAAACACACGAGTCGGCTTTTTTTTTTTTGATGAAATTTTGATGAAATTTTGATGAAAACAAGTTGAAAAACTCGGAAAAACTGAAAAATTTGCAAATCAACGTGTTGGGCGGTGCTTGGCGAGAAATTTTCAACCATTTATAAAGCCAATTTTAAAGCTGAATTTAGTCAAACAACAAAAAGCTGATATTTTGGTATCATTTGACTTGAAAACCTTCATAAAAGCAAGCCTTTTATTACTCCAGTCATTCTTGAATCATTCCCAAACTTCTCTTCAGTATGAAACACTTCTTTGTCTTCTTTGTCTTCTCATTTTTTGTGCTTACGGCAGCCAACTTTAAATCATTGCCTGGAGGCGATCGAAGAAAACTGACAGCTGCTTGTGTTGTGGGTTTTCAATGATATTATTCGATACTAGTACTAGATCAGGCAAAGTATTGGCATTGATGGACTTGAGAAGCTAACTAGAAACTAGTAATCTAACTAGGAACTAGTAATTTAACTAGAAACTTAGCCAAATCAGTCAGATTGAACCTAGTGACTGTGAATGGATTGACTTAACCCTGGCTTAACCCTGGCTTAACCCTGGCTTAACCCTGGCTTAACCCTGGCTTAACCCTGGCTTAACCCTGGCTTAACCCTGGCTTAACCCTGGCTTAACCCTGGCTTAACCCTGGCTTAACTCGACTCTAACTAGAGAATGTCAACTTAAGTCAGTTCTAACAAAAAGGATTTGACGGTAAGTGGATCCGAACCACGGTGACATTGCGTTGAATCAAGCCCGGCACACACGAGCACCGGATTCAACTTCAAAGGAAAGAATGAAAGCTATGCAATTGTCCAATTGTACAGCTTTCATTGTCCAATGGCACATCTATCCATTACACTACTGCAACTTTAGCTTCTCCGAGAAGCAAGAAAGCCTATATATTAGCTCTGAAATTCTGTATTAACGACCTAAACTTGTTTGCCAGATAACTAACGATATAGGGCTCCGTTCATGAAACTAAAATCACATTTGAAATCAGCGTTCAAAACTCTATCAGATAAACTAAGGTTGATTCAAAAATCGACTTAAAAAAGGCAAAAAAGCCATTCCCTAGTGAGACAAATAGAACTTGGCTCTGATCTAAAATCGGGTTTTATTCTGAAAACACTAACGCGTCTTTAAATGACAAATTTTTCAGGATTTCTGTAACGGTCAATCGCGATCAACGAGCACTGGATTCAACTTTAAAAGCAACGGATGGGAGCTATGCAATTGTCCAATTGCACAAGGATCACATCAGTAAGAAATGATATTCCTCCTCAAATCTAGATAAGATTACAAACTTTACAGATGGGCAAACTCTGGTTGCTGGCAAGAATGTGTTGATCGATGCGTTTCAACAAAGGGAAAATGTGCTGATCCGAAAAAAAGCAACAAGAAAAATCAAGGGTATTGGATCAGTTTGGACAATTTTAGCTTAAAAAAGCCTTGCTTCTAATCAAGTGTTTACTGGACGACATCTTACTGTACTGCAAGATGATCTACTGTACAGAGATTACAGTAATCTGTACAGTAATCTCTGCAAGGTAATCTCTGTAAGGTAATCTCTGTACAGTAATCTCTGTACAGTAATCTGTAAAGTAATCTGTAAAGTAATCTGTAAAGTATTACTTTACAGATTACTTTACAGATTACTGTACATCTCTCTGTACAATAATCTCTGTACAATAATCTCTGTACAATAATCTCTGTACAATAATCTCTGTACAATAATCTATGTACAGTAATCTGTAAAGTAATCTCTGTAAAGTAATCTCTGTAAAGTAATCTCTATACAGTAATCTATGTACAATAATCTATGTACAATAATCTATGTACAGTAATCTCTGTCCAGTAACCTCTCAATCTTCTCAATCTCAATTTAGCCCATGTTGCTCAACAGCTGACAACAATTCCACAATCGAAGAGCAATGTTATTCTACAGCAACTGGTCTTTGTTATTGCAATGGACAAAATGCACAATGTGGCGGTGGAGTGACAGTGATTGGAGGATTTGGAAGAAAATGATGAACTGATAAACTTGATTAATGGATGTACAATAAATTTCTTTGAACTTCTCAACAACAAAACATCGACTAGCTGAAATGTTAACAAGTTTCAACGTAATTTTTCTTCATTATCGGCCACCGTTTAAGTTAGAATGACAATGGGATGACAATTGGTTGACAATTTTCTGTGTAAGCGTGTAAGTATAATAGTGTACAAGGGAAATTGCCATCCCATTGTCATTCTAACCTAAACGGTGGCCGATAATGAAGGTAAACTACCTAAAGCTTATTATCATTTTATTTTTATAACATTTTCACATTTATATTCCAATTTTTAGGTTGATCAGTGGGCTATAAGAAAAATTAGAGTCATTTGAATTTGAAAAGCTTTTAATGGCTTTAATTTTTCGTATAGTTTTCTTAGCTAGCTA